AATCCAAAAAGCTTTCTGGATAAAAGAATCTCTTTATAAATCTACAGAGAAATTTTTCCAAAATCACTCGAATATCATTTTCACTCGAGCAGATAAAGGTAATGAAACTGTTGTTTTAGAGAAGGATTTATATATAGAGTGAGATATTTAAAACAGGTCACCTGAATAACTCGCTTGTTTTTAACAATAGAAGGAAAAATATTAAACAAAAGTTGCATGGTTTCAAGGGGGACGTATTTTGGTATCATGTTATCTTTCTTCTAGATGGAGGTGCTAAAAAGATATAAAAGTCACCTCCATTTTTTTAAACGGAATTGTATAATTTTTTTTACACAATATGATTCCTCTAATTATTCTGCATATAAAAGTACTATCTGCATATAAAAGTATTATATAAATATATAAGTAGCGATATCAAAAAATCAATAGTTTACGAGATATTTTATATTTTATTGTGGCATATATTGATATATAAAATATTAAATAACTCGTAAACTATTAATTTTTGGATAACCATACCTTAATACTTTTATGAACAGAATAATGAGATGAATCAATTGGTGGAAAGAAAATACATAGTTACTTTTAAAAAAATATGTATGCAAAATGGATATTTTTACGTAAAAATGAATTTTTAGTGCAAAAATGAAAATAAGAGGAATAATCTCCAATGGCCTTGATCTTGACAAATGTTATTCAGGACATGATTCTGAACAATATTCAAGAGGTTTTAACCGTCAGTCGGACAACTTACATAATGCTAATGCCGACTGTACTGTAACTTTCGAATCTTATAACTCGAAAAATACTTAATGAAAAAATATTTTATTATAGTGTTTTGAAAAGCTCTCGAGGTAAGCTATAAGAAAATGTAATAAAAAATGGGAGGTTCCACTTAAAAAATTCAAAGTAGTCTTGCTCTCATTTTGACAACGCTACTCAAAGTCAAACAAATGGTACCATACTCTCCTTATAAAACTTTTGTCTGAACATATTAATAATTTGATACATATTTTCAGAGATAATAGCTTGTAACACTTTACATGGGCCATCCTATATATATATATGTGTGTGTGTGTGTGTGTGTGTGTGTGTGTGTGTGTGTGTGTGTGTGTGTGTGTCATAGTTATAAATCCATCAACACTCAGGGTTCGTGGATTATTGAAGTAATAATTTCCGTACGATCCGTAGAGGTCAAGCAACGCTAGATGGAAAAAAGCTTGGAATGGATTACCGCTTGGAATTACCAGGAAATTAATTCTTGTATTCATAGGAAAACATTTTTTTAATATTAACCCTTGCACGGCACACTTATTTTCGGTACCTTCAAACGGCACATATGGGTCATTCGTGTCCGACTCGATTTTGAGGCTCTTAAAGTGCTCGAAAAATTCTGTAAAAATTCATACATATTCTTTAAGGTCTCTACTAAATTATTCTGCCATGCCGACATTGGAAAAAAAGTTTAGAAGAATTATGAAAATACTTTTCTGTACCAGAAAAGGAAAAATAATTTAGTTTTCATATAAACATTATAACTTTGCTCTATATATATATATATATGTGTGTGTATAAAAAACCATTGTAGGATGTTTTTGTATAGATATGATACTTTAAAAAAATAATATTACAGGGATCAGATGCAGAAAAAGTGCAATTATTTGAGCATCTGAAAATGTCATATTTTTAATGCGAGGGTTAATTTTGTCGTGTGTATTTTGGAATATGATGCTAATCAATAATACTTATTTGAGGAATAAAATTGGATTAATTAATATTACAACTTTCATTTTTCTCATTAGTTATACAGGGTGTCCCAAAACTACCGCATTTCTTTTTACGGACGTATTCTTGATGTAATTTTGAGACGAAAATCCTAATACGAAAATGTCGAGATTATAATAATTTTTTTAATTATATAAGCTAACTTTAAATGCTTATAAATCAAAAACCATTTTACTTTTATAGCCTCTATTATTATTTCTGAATTCTTTTGAACATTCTAAGATGAAAATCCTAATACGAAAATATCGAGGCTATAATATTTTTCGAATTATAAACTACCTTTAACCAATTATGATTCAAAAACTATTGTAGCCTCGACATTTTTGAATTAGGATTTTCGTTTTAAAATTTTCACCTCAAGAATACGTTCTTAAGAGGAAATGCGGTGGTTTTGAAACATCCAGTATATAATTATGTATACTGCTATATTATATATAATAATTATATTTAATCATTTATATATAATTATATATGGAAAATTTGTTTCCGTATGAACTCCATTAAACGAAATAAAAATTTTAAGAAGCGTTTACAATAATAAAGTTAATATTATACAAATTATATATAGAATTACAGAATTAGAAACATACGATGTTCTTTCTCTGCTTTGGAAAAGAGCTGAAATGTCTTCACCCTCGTACCAGTTAGCTGGAACAGTTCGCTGTCTCGCACATATATTTATACTTGCGTACATCGTCACTAATACGCAGACTATGTGTAGTCGTCTCTTCTTCGCTAGATACGTGTGTTACACGCGTGTAAAATGACTGCACATGTCGGAACCTTTGATCTCGACCATTTATCATTGCTTGTGAGAAAAAGTCTAATAATTTACATGTTCAGATCTTGTACATGTATGAATGAATACGTGTATTTATGTATATCATATATGTGATATGGATATACATAATAGTACAAAGGAAGGTAGAAATTTTCAAGAGTTTTGCAACTCCTCGAGGATCGTTTTATTTCTTATGTTTTCTTATGTATTTTTCTTCGTAGAAACCGAAAATAATCATTATAATAACGCCAAACTTAAGGAAAAATTGGTATATCGAAATAAAGTGAATAAAATCCTTTTTCGCATCGTTATAAAATCAATTATGCTTTAATAATTTATTTATGAACTTAATTCCGAATTACATCAAAAGTGAGTAATACTGCATCACAAAACGTTGATTTAGATTATATTTTTCACTATAATATTTGTTATGTCGATACCGTTTCCTCCACTTCAAATGTCGTACATTGTTTGGAGTGTGGGAAACGTTGCCGAGAATTTTTTGCTGGAAAAAATCACTGAACAAAATTTCAGAGAAAGGAGGATATTAAAAAGAGGCCGATTTCTGCCCAAAAAAGTATAAGTAAAAAGAATAGCGTTTTTTATATACACTGCTCAAAAAAATTATGCACCCAAAAAAAATAATTTTCGTATTAAGCAGAATCTGCTAAATCTTAGAAGATTTTATTCTTATACACGGTGTCTCAAGAGGAATCCTTCGAAATTAAGCGGAAACAATTTTAAGCACAATATTCTTACAATTAAAGTAATTTCGCCTTGCATCTGCAGTACAAATCTTGCTATTCCTAATATAAAAAAAGCGCTAAGAGTGCATGCTTCTCATAAAGAACCATTTGGGCCGGTTTCACCAACGCCAATTACGTAATCGGCCGTGGAACTGATAAATTGCGTTTGCTGTTTAGTAAAATTGACCATTTATGGTTGACAGTTAATCACTGATTCGGTTTAATCGAGTTGATGAAATCGGTCCTTTGTACCAACAATTGGCGCTAAGTTAAATCCCATTTCTTTAATAATATTTTCATTAATGATCTCTTTATTCCAATTCAAGTTATAATAGTTTTATTCCCCTTCAAAAATTATTACATAAAAATCATTACTTTGTTAACAATTGTTAAACAAAAAAATTAAAAAAACTTTTTTTTCTTCACAACATTGAAGTACTCTTGAAACCGTACAACTTCTGTTTAAAAAATTTTTTTCCATCTTTATACTTCCGACGGTATTCGGCTCGAAATAGAAATACCGTTTTTTTTCAAAAGGGTATTTCATCCCTTAAACATGAGTTAGCGCATGTATGAAAAAATACGTGTCTCTTAGATTTTCGTATTTAACAACATATTTCATGGAGAATCAAATCGGTTTCGGACAGTTGTGAAACTTCCCTTGCTAGTATAGTCTTGTATAATCGTACATAACCACATAAGCTCTTATCAGGCTAAAATTCATACGTGAACAAATAAGATTGCTTCTTATATGAGCATATAAGAGGTATTTCCTCCCGAGTTATATTCATATTGCTTGGAAACACTAAAACAATTCTCGAAGTAAAAGTCGATTATAACTTTTTTCTTATTTAACACATAAATAAAAAAAATAGGTATACGTATGGGGTGTATACTAGAAAGGGGTGTACTTTAGAATGCTAAAAGATTTTAAGGAGTGATTCCTCACACAAATTTAAAACAAAAATTTCATATGATTATATGTCTCAGATCGCTTAGTTTCGAAGTTATAAAATGTCAAAAAATTTCACGCGTTTTCTCCAAAAGTTTCAAAAACTATTCGAGTTACTTTGATAAAACTTTAACATATACAAAGTTTCATCAAAATAATTCGAGTTTTTTGAAATTTTTAGAGAAAAAACGAAATTTTTCCTTCAACTTTGACACCCTGTATCTTTGAAACTAAGCTGTTTCAGATATAATATATGTATAATATAATTATATAAAGTTTTCGTCTTGAATTTGTGTAACGAATCACCCCTTAAAATCTTGTAGCATATTTACAATTAGTATACACCCTGTACATATACGTGTCCAGAAAAGAAGTCTGAAGTTTCAAATTGTTTATCTTGGTTTGAAAAAACTGAAAATTTAATGAAATACTTCTGTTTGAATTGACCTTGTTTTGATTTTAGAAATCTTAACTAATGTCGAAGCAATGGTTGATCGTGCATCTTCTCATATTGCATAACTTTTGTTTATCTAAAATATTTTTTGTAAAATAAAATCTAATAAAAATAATAGGTTTGCATTAATTAAAATGGTCTGTCTTATATGTTTTAAGTTAACAGTATGATGCTAATAATAATTAAACTTAAATCTTTTAAAATAAGGTCTTTATTATTATTATTTGTGTTTACTAATAATTTATAATCTGTGTAATAAAGTATTAATTAATTATGTTACAGAAAGCACCAGCACTGAAATTGGGGAACAACCGCAACAATTGCATCAACAGCAACAACATCAACAACAATATGGAGAAGTAAATCAATTAGGCGGTGTATTCGTTAATGGAAGACCACTTCCCAATGCAGTCAGATTGAGAATAGTCGAGCTTGCACAATTGGGTATCAGACCATGTGATATCTCACGACAATTACGTGTTAGTCACGGATGTGTCAGTAAAATACTGGCACGCTATCACGAAACGGGTAGTATTCTACCAGGCGCAATTGGTGGCAGCAAGCCACGTGTGACTACACCAAAAGTTGTGCAATACATAAAGCAATTGAAATTAAAAGATCCAGGGATTTTTGCATGGGAGATCAGAGATCGATTATTGTCTGATGGCATTTGTGACAAATATAACGTTCCATCAGTATCCAGTATATCAAGAATATTAAGAAATAAAGTTGGCACAACGACAACTATGCATCATCATTCACATCATTCAGCTCACCATCATCATCACCATCATCACCATTTTTATGCAGCTGCAGCAGCGGCTGGTGCAGCTCTTTGTCCAGTTCCGTATCCACCGACATCTTATCATCCGACAGCGCCGCCTTCCATTCCACATCATCATCATCAAGGTTAGTACTTTATGTAACTTTTGGTAATTTAAATATAGAAATTAAATATAGGAATGAAAGAGGCTTCTCTACTCGTTTTTATTAATTTCTTTCTTATCAATTGATAAAAACTATGTATAATTTAGTCTAAATGTTCAATTCACATAAAATTATTTGATATATCACTCCGTTACATATCATAATAAAAAATTTGAAAATAAATAAATCTTATATTCTGAAAATGATATTAAAAATTAATTATATTCACATGTGCAAGATATCACACTACAGTATTACTATTTAAGAACATTACATTTAGGACATATTTAATGCAAGTTAGAGTTAATTTCCTTTTATGAAAATATCAAAGTAATTTGTAACTTATCTTTCTAACATTACACATTTTTATAATTAAAACTTAAAATTAAATTTTGAAAAAGGCAAATTTTAACTTAAAAGAAAATTTTAAAATTTGCAGAGAACTTTTCATAATACTTTACTGCAAAATTTACTACTTTTACCATGTTTAGTGATAAATGGGACAATTTGGCAATTTAAGAATATTATCGTATAAAGATAGAAATTTTTTAAATATACAAAAAATATTTTATGAACTACATAATAAAAATTACCAAGCACATTATAAATTATTTTAATGCAAAATATTTACAAAACGCTTTGCAAAACATTTCCCTTTAATATGGATCAGTTGCCATTATATTTTAATATATAACTTATTAAGAAATCCTGATAATTTCAAGAATTGTAAGGATTCCTTAATTATAATGTAATAAACCTTTACATTATGGGACATTTCGACCTTGATATATGTTGTCAAGGTCATGACTCTAAGTGACCTTCAAAAGGTTTTAGGTAGCGCTCACTGTTCATTCAAAAGTTATAAATAAATAAAGTTTAAAAAATAATGTCTTATTTGTATCATATACACTATTAAAACCTACCCTAAAACCTTCCTAGAGGCGTTCGACTTTCCACGCAAAGGGAGGTTCATCCCACCTCCCCCCTTTCTAGGATTTAATGACTTTCCATGCGAAAAAAGGTTCATTCCACCTCCCCTTAGCCAAGGGGCAATCGACTTTCTCCTAGACGGGGGAGTAGAGTGGATCTTGCTTCGCGTGAAAAATCTAACGCCCCGAAATAGGGGAGGGGGAAGATGGAATTTAAGTCGCTTCGCTTGGAAAGTCATACGCCCTCGAGATGGGGTGGACTTCCCTTCGTGTGGAAAGTCGTATGCCCGTCAGTATACAGAAATAAGACATGATTTTTTAGATTTTATTTGTTAATAATTTTTCAAAGAACAGTGATCGCCACCTAAAATCTCTTTTATCTTCCATTTACTTCCGTACGTAATTATAAGGAAAAGCAACGCATAGAAAAGCAGTTAAAAAGAGCTTACGGAATATGAAAAGTTTGATTTGCGTATGATCTTTTATAAGACGCCCGCCATAGCGTTTTCTTTTTATGAGAAACGTGCCCCTTTCGTGGCAGCACTACGTACTACGCACAGCGAACGGATTCTTATAATTTATAACTGTATCTAATGGAGATCCGGGAAAAAATGGAACAGATCTGAACAGATTCAATTATATCTCATCAGGTCCGAATCTCTCAGATCTGGTTTAATAAAATAATATTGGCCCTCTATCTTATTTGATCCAATTGGACATGATGAGATCTAATTCGATCTTTTTTTATTATATTTGATTATTATTAACTATTGTACTGCTTCCATATAATGGAATATAACAGATAATATAATGCCTGCGTAACATTCTACGTCCACATAATTTCCCACTCACGAATCATTGCAGCTATATAATATAAATACATTTACATATTGCGGTTACAGTTATGTTGCGCTATACATTATCCTAACTTAATTTAATGCTTTTTGCACATACTATTCCTGAAAAAGATCTTGGAATTAATTCTAAAGCGAAAACAAACGGAATAGTTTGCTCTCTTAGAATTAATTTAAAATCACTTGGCTAAACAGCAAAGAGACAAAAATTGGATCATTCCCAACCAGACAGTAGCGAGATACTCATCCTCGGTCTTATATAGAGCATAATTTCAACTTTATCCAACGTTTTTATTGACACATCTGTGATAATGTTCTACGGATTTGCTGAAGATGGTTTGAAGTAAGCCGAAACGTCCAAATTGTCTGTATTGACAGTCATGTACACAATTTTTAATATATTATATGAATATTATTTGACTATTATATAAATTGCGCACCAATTCCCGCTCTGTGTAACGCTCTCATTGTTCGTACATTATATTATTGTTTTTTAATTTCGATTAGTATTTAATTTTGATTTTAATTCATTTATTTATAAACTTCACAGTTCGCACATAAATATTTATAAATATCATTACTGAGTATTTTATAGTAATATTCATATATTATATATACTTTTATGGTAATTGTTGAGTTTAGCCTCCTCACTTCCGATGTTGATAAAATTATAAGAATAAGAATCTTATTTTAGATCGTACATCTGAGAACACAATCAATACGGTAATATAAATTTTTAAAGCAGACAAATACTTAATTAAAATAAATTTTCTGCTATAAAAACAAAAATTATATAGAAAATAATTTATATATGTTTCCTGGTAACAAAATATTAACAATTTGAGGCCAAATTGACAGCAAACTCTATCAGATTTTGACTACAAAACTATAACCATCTGTGTCCGCATTTGGTTACGGATTTGTCGATAAAACCTGCTGACAGGCTATGCCAGCAGATTTGTGGCAGAAATCGAGCAAAGTTTGCTTAAATCAGGTTCTGCTTCCAATCCACTCTCAATTTGCCGTCAGGTTATGCATGACTTTGTTCAGTATCTACTACGTACCAATCTGCTAGCAAAGCATGTCTAGCAGGCTTTGTCATATTTCTGACAGAGCAATTTGTTGACAATACAATGTCAGATAATACAAACTTTGGGTACAATTGATTGCTTTTCTGCAATCAAAAATTAGTAGCAGATCCTGCTTAAAATCTGTTTCCGCAAGGCTTTGCTATCAGAGTTTATAAAATAAAGGATTTGTGTTTTTAAAACAGAGAATTTATTTTTGAAGCAAAGAATTTGTGTAATTGAAGCAGAAAATACTTATTACAGCCTCATTTACATGTTCTTATGTCTATCTCTATCTCTCTATCTCTATCTCTCAATCGCCTGTCTTTGATTATATATTTTATTGTTTAATCTCGAGAGCTCAATTTTATTCTTAAATTTATTTATTTAAAACTATGAAGTATTACACAATCCTAATTATAATTAATGCTACTGATGATGGAATAAAATAAGTTTTGTATATTTTTGACGAATATAATCGTCTCTTTGCTAGATATGCTTTTGATTTATAAAACAATCTTATGTCAATGTACAATGATAATATGTTTACACAGTTGCATTCTATGATTATCAAATATTTCCTGACATAATATGTGATCTTGCATGATATTGTTAGAAAATGGAGACGATAATCTACAAAATATTGTATTTGTTAAAAATTGTTTAATATTATTCTTTTTTAATTCGTTTGTGTACTGCCGAATAGTTGATTATGATATTGCATGTACAAATCATGCAAACATCATCAAATGTTTTAAATATGGCCGTCTATTTTTAAGTTCTGATAACAAAGCCATTTTTTGTCCTAATAACTGATTTTTACATATTTCACAATTTATAGTGTTGTACAGTCTATTTATAGTATTGTACAGTCATCTATTACAAATATATCCTGCTATATATTCATTATGTTGTCTATATATGATGTTAGCTGCTACATTGTTTTCATATAGTCATGATCAAAAGTTAATATATCTTTATCAAAGTTTTCTATTTCTTCATTTATTAAGGGACATTTAATTTTTTTTTGATTGAATGATGCATGCAAAATTTCAAAACTATCAGAAAGACAATTGCTGGCATTAAACTGTTTTATTTTATGCCTGATTAACAGACGTTTGTATGCACTTTTTATTTGCAGAACATTTGAGTTGTTATTCATAACTATTCATAACTCCATATAGCACTAAAAAACGTTTTAAGAAAATCTTGAGATAATTTATATGTTAACAAATATGTCATTCCGAAAATCTTTAAATAATCAAGAGTAAGGGAAATATATTTCTTAAATATACAATTAGTCCAAGGAAACTAGTTTTTCTACCAGTAATTATTGTAATCTACCACTAATAATCGTAATATGGAAATGCCATTCGCATCCTGTAACGTATTAATATATTCTTCAAAATATTCAGCATGTGTTTGTAGATGTGTATAATTTTCAAAAGTTAATGATATATTAAACTTATGACGAGAAAATTTATTTTTACAATTTAACATATCACCTATATTACTGAAATTTAAACAAAACTCAGCAATTGCTTTGTAATTAGCAAATTCACTGTTTATTATAAAGTCTGATAATTTTAATAAGAACATAAGTGAATTGTATACACTTTCACTTAAAGTTCGTATTGTTAACTTCCCAATGAATAGACATAAGACAACTTTAAGATATCTTTCAGAATTCTTTATGAAATATCTTGAAGATGTCATTTTTTAAGTTAAAATTGTTGAATATTAATTATTTTATTATGATACTATACAGGGTGTCCCGAATTTAAATGTTTAGACTTCAGGAAAGTGTAGAGGATCGATAAACTAAAGAAAAAGTCCTAAAGAGATATATTCGTTTTTACTTCGTTTTGGAGAAAATCGCAAAAAGAAGACAAAACGTAATTTATTTTCCGAGTTATTTAATAATCCCGTAACAAGAACTTCATCATCACATTCTACGAAATCTTCGAACGTTATGTCTCCGATGTTGTAATGTGCTGAAACTTGTCTCTAGCTACCGTATTATATAAATTTGTATCGTCTTCACAATTTTCTTTTGCTTTTATAGTGTCTTCTGTTTGTGAAGAAAACCCACAAGTTCTAAAGCAGTTAATTATTGATTTCTGCGATACATT